TGTGGTCCCTTCCAGCCTAACTGATTCTGTGATTCTTTGAACCATGGAACAGTTTGGATTGGAAGGACCTTCAAGCTCATCCAACCCCACCACCTGCCATGGGCAGGGACAACTTCCACCAGCCCAGATTGCTCCAAGCCCTATCCAACCTGGCCTTGAACACTTCCAGTGATGGAGCAGAAAACTTGAAGCTTAGAGCCATCTGCCACTTCTCAGGAGGGTTTGGGTCCCTCACCTTCCTCTCCCCTCCAGGAACTCCAGGACTGTTGGGCCCTTTCTTGGCCAGCCAGGACCAGCCCAGCTCTCACCACAGTACAGTTTCCTTTGTCCAATTGATCTCATTTTAGGAACAATGTTTTAAGAGATTGAGTCCATATCTACATGTGCCCTGTGGGCACTCCCTGTATTAACCCAGATCAAGATAAGGGACTGAGGGTAATCTCCCTGGAGCTGGTGGGTGTGAGGAACAGCCTTTGTTCAGGAGATGGGGAGCAGGAGTTGGGTTCTGTCAGGCTCAGAAGGGCCTGGCTGGGACAGAAACACACACCCAGGAGCCTCAACTCTGCCATAAAGGAACTGAAGGAGAGGGGGAGCAGGGCAAATGCACCTCAGAAACATTTTATAGGGATGGGCAGAAACAGAGCATCCAAAGGGTCAGGAAATTACTGGAAGGTGGTCAAGGAACTGGAATGGAGAACACTACAGGTTTCTAAGGAGACCAAAGAATTAATACCCAGTTTCCTGCACACACAGAACAGAACTACTTATTGTTATTGATAATATTTCATGGACTTATGTTCTCTAAGATAAATTGTTTTTTTGCATCCACAAGCAAGCTCTTAATTGTGACTCATCAGTCTGTCTGGAAGGAGCCCAGGGATGGACTGCAGATTGACAACCTTTCTGGGGACCTCATCCAGTGCCACCAGGAAGTCTCTAAATCACTACAAGCTGCCAGGAACTGGGGGATGTGCCAGAAAAAGGAGTGCCTGGGGCTTATCTCCCCTAGCATATGTTGCTGCCCACTGCCAGCACTGAGCCTTCTGGACTCTGGGTAGTTCTGCAATGTTCATATACAAAACAAGGATAGGAAAAGCAAAAGAAGGAACCAGATTCTGCACAGTTTGGACTGGCACAAATCTAGGACACTCTGTGCCCCTAAATGAGCCAGTGAGTGCAAACATGACAATCTTCTCTGAGACCTTACAAAGTCCTTAAGCAGGGAAAAAACCATTATCTTGGCAAACCTGTTTTCCTCCCTCTCATTCACTCCCCCAGTGACACATTACAAGCACTTCTGCACTCAGATTGTTTGCATGGTATTTGCTCAGCCATGCTCAGGGGTCACACTCCAGCATCAAAGGATCTGGTCCTTCAGCCTGAATTTTCTGCCCACATTCCTGCCTTTGTGAAGTCAATCTAAGTGGGATATGTCAGAGTTGTTCCTACAGATCTGCTTCTCCTGTGGATTACAATTAATTTGGAATATTGCCCTTTCCTATTGGCTGGGGAAGCTCAAGATGGAAAAATGGAGCTCCTGACCTTAATTTTCTTTGGATACAATTTTTCCCTCCCTCGTTGTTTAGGCCAAGCAGATGAAAATAAAATAAAATAAAATAAAATAAATATGTCATTTAACATAGAGTCATGAAATGGTCTGGGTTGGAAGTGATCTTAAAGCTCATCTCATTCCACCTCCTGCCATGGGCAGGGACACTTTCCACTAGCCCAGGTTGCTCCAAGCTCCATCCAACCTGGCCTGGAACAATTCCAGGTATGGGGCAGCCACAGCTGCTCTGGGCTACATGTGCCAGTGCCTTACCACCCTCAGAGGGAACAATTCCTTCCCCATATCCCATCTAGCCCTGCCCTCTGGCAGTGGGAAACCACTCCAGCCCCTTATACCAAGTCCCTCTGCAGCTCTCTTGAAGTCCCTTTAGGCACTGGAAGGGGCTCTAAGATCTCCCTGGAGACTTCTCCAGGCTCAACACCCCCAGCTCTCCCAAACTGTCTCCATGGGAGGATGTGGATTCCTGCTTTTCCTCAAGGAGCAAAGCAAGGCCCTTCTGTAACTAAGTCACACCCAAACACAGCCTCATGCTCACCTTCCAACTCTTAGCCCTGCTTTCCCCAGCTCTCAGCCTTCCAATTCTTGGCCCTGCAGCTGGAATTCATAAAATAACTATATTTCAGCAATCCTTGTAGATGACTAGTGGCTATTTGAACTGCAGCTTACCTAAATCCCTCTTTGGATTCCCAAAACTCTTCAAAGCAGCCTTTAAAGTGTCACTAAAGAGGCTTCATGGAGATAAAACCACAGCTCCTTCTTTTCATGAGGAGAGTTAACATTCCCCACTCCAACTACCAGCTCCTCCTCCCTGTGCCTGCAGTGTGCAGTCGTCCCTCATTAGCCTCATTATGTCAGCAGACCACTAAGGTTATATTTAGGAACTGAAGGAGCTTATGGAGCATCCAAACATTTAAAATTCAGATTTCATGTGCATCACCAGCAGTTTCAACCCATACAGAGGTGGTCTGGAACTATAAATGGGCTAAAGAAAGGCTGCAAAGACTGAGGGAAGGAAACTAATTCTCTCTGTAAGATTAAGTCGAGGAAAGGACTTGGCTGATAATAAAAGACAGCAGAAATATCAGCTCCTCTCTTTTAGGAACTGATGCTATTGCAACCCTAAGAGTACAGTGATACTATCACAATAATTGATTTAATTCTGTGGGTCTATTTGAATAGGCATTTATCCACCAGACCTTATCCTGTGATGTGCATTTGTTAAGACCTGTCATCTCCTGCTTACAGGGTGATGCTCTGTGAGGCTAAAGTGGTGTGAAACCAGTAAAAAAATGAACTCCCAAATTCCCTACAAAGGGAATTTTCAGAAAGTCATGACAAGCAGGAAAACACAGAGACAATAGTAGAGACTGCTGCTTAGTTTCAGCTCTTGCAAATATCTTCTATCATATGCAACAGTCAATAACTTACAATTCTGTGATAAATACACAACAGAAGAGTCTTCAAATTAACCATTGCAGGAAGTAAAATCCTTTCAAAAACATTGAAATCACAAATCCTGGTAGGTTTGGGTTTTTTCTGAAGCATTGAACTATTTCAGTACCAGAGGTATGTTATCTTTGAAGCAGTTGTGGGAGAAACAAAGCAAAATAAACCCAAAACCCAAGCTCTCCCCAAAGCATGGACTGATCTGATGCAGTGAAACACAAGACCTCATCAAAAGCACAGTCTGGGCACTCCCTCCCTGGTCTCAGTGGCAACAGGAGAATAGAAACTAGAACTAAAGTGCCCAGGAAGGACACAGGAGCTGCTGCTCAGCTGAGAACACCCAACACCACAAACCATTGTGTGAGGTTGAGTCACCAGAAACCAGGCCAGAGGGGAAGCAGATAAAGCTCTTTTGTTTTCCCCCTGTACCTGCTGTGTTTAATCTCACAGCACTTTGTATTCATCTTGTTCTTGCTCCATATGAAGCCTGGAGAAATCTGCACTCCCCTGGCTTCAGGACATGAAGGATTCTGTCCCCAGTCACCTGTTCAACAGCTCCTTCTCAACCTCCTCCCAGGTGCCACACAGCACAGAGATTTCACTCTCCTTTGAGCACATGACTCCAGTTTCCTCCTAGGACACTACTCCAGAACACCCTGCAATGATCATGGATTTGGGGACGATTCAAAATGAGAATGGGACTGCAAATTTTAGGTCTCAAGCCGGAAGGGAAAAGGCTCTGATGATGTCTCTCACTGAAGAACAACAGGTGACCTACACAAAGTGCAACAGTCAGAAATGGCTCAGATTGTGGTAAGTGCTGCACTCAGCATACAAAATATCAGCTGTTTCTTTGTGCTTCATTATCTACACATGGCAAAATGTTAGTTCAGGATAATGACACACAGCTTCTTTCCACACAGGATTCCTGTGCCTGTTGCCACACAGGAGGAAAGAACTGCAGTTACCCAGGCCTGGCATTCCAGTGCTCCCTGTGTGCTCCTCAGCTCACTGCAGGGAGCTGAGAGCAAAGCCCAACTGATTGTGCATCCATTTAAAGTTAGCTTTGGGAGTCAATACCACAAAAAGAAAGATGTACAAAGTCTGTTTCTTATGTGGACACTGGCTGGAGTATAATGTAGAGTTATCTGCTGATTTGTCATTCAAATACATCACTGTCTATAAAAATTAAGCCTGTGCTCAGCAGTGCAGGTTGATAACTCATTGAATGGGATCTACACTCTCATATCTGATATCATCACTGGTGTTGAAGGAGCAGTGAAATTCCTCCATCAGGACTAGCACTGAGCCCTTCTGCTTTGACTTTGCCATCACACACTGAGCAGAAGGCAGCACAGTAATTGCTGTGCCAATTTGATGACTCAAAACTGTGCCTGGAACAGCACAACCTCTAGATGTGTTTTCAAGGTCTTAAAATATCTCTGAGCCAGAGCTGTGAAGGCAAGAGGAAAGAGATCCAAGAGATACCAGTGTAAATAATCTTTTTGTAATGAGTTACTGTCTCCACTGAGCTCCCAAGATATTATCAGAGTTCTGTCACTGTTGTTACAGTTTTCAGGAGGATTCTCTGGATTCCTGACACACACAATCAAGGGCAAATCATTAGAGAGCCTCATGTTTAATGACTCTAAGAGAAATGAGAGTGGCTTGGCCTGACCTGCTTTTCAGTTTTACTGCTGAGAGCCAGAAGTCCTTCCTGGCCTTCCTCTCAACAAAAAAGCATGAGACTACCAACCGCAATTAGTAATTGTATTACCACCACCTTCATCCTTTTCCTCCCTTCCCTCATTTTCCCTTCCAATCTGCTGCCTGGTGCTTCCAGACTCCTCAGAATGGCATTCCCTTTCAGACTGCATCACATCTACCTTTTATTGGGCCCTGCATGGGCTGTTGAGTCCCCTTTAAAAACAATTTTGTGCATTTTTTCCTTGGAATTTTACTTGGAACATTAAAATTCTCTTACCTAATGTTTCCTTTTGTAGTTCATGGCATCTGCTCTGTAGCTCATTGCCTTGTTGAAGGGAAGTTTGAAGCTGTTGAGTTTTCAGCTCAACTGTGTCAGCCACCAGTGTCAGATGTTTGACCTTCTCCTGGAGACATTCATTCTCCCGCTGGGATTTTGCTAACCTTTGATTCAGTTTGGGTATTTCTGAGGAGGAAAAAAAGATAATACAGGTTGTTATAAAATTTAACTCCTTTACTGTAAAGTAGGACACCTGATTTATGACCTCAGGACTTCAGTATTCAGAGAATCCCAGACTGGCTTGGGTTGGAAGGAGCTTAAAGTTTATCCAGTTCCACCCCTTGCCATGGACAGGGACACCTTCCATCAGCCCAGGGTCCTCCAAGCCCTATCCAACTTGGCCTGGAACACTTGCAGGGATGGAGCAGCCACATCTTCTCTGGGCAACCTGAGACATTTCTCACCATCCTCACAGGAAGGAATTCCTTCCCAATATCCTGTCTAGCCCTGCCCTCCTTCAGCTTAAAACCATTCCCCTGTCCTATCCCTCCTGGCCCTTGTCCCAAGTCCCTCTCCAGCTCTTTTGGAGCCACTTCAGGTACTGAAAGGCCACAATTCTTTCCTGTACCTTCTCCAGCTGCAGCCCCAAGTGCTCAGTTGTCCAAAGAACTTACATCACTTTCATTGACATTAATCATGACAACATTCAAATTGGATGAAGCCTAACCTTACTGCCAAGTCAGCTGTTTCATATGTTTTATATGCAGCCCACATGCACATTTTAAACTCTTTTGTTGCCAATTTTCTCTATCAATAATTTCCCCAACTATTCCACACTTAAACCAATTTATTGTTGGATCAAATGATGTAAATACCAAAAGACTTTAAGTCCTTTTACTTTTTCCTATTTGCCATTCCTTAAGGCTAAATAATGACATAAATAAGGGCTTTTTATAAGCTGTTTTCAAACTAACCAAGTAAACTGCCCTTAGCATAAAAAGCAGCAACTCATGTAACATTTTTCCCTCTCAAATTCTGAATGTTCTTGGTGCAAAAGCAGTAAAATAAACAACCAAAATCCTGTATGTTAACATGTCACCATTTGTTAATCATGAACAGCTGATAAAACAGAACATAAAAGCTTTTAAATGGCATTCACAGGCCAAAAAAAATATGTGGGACTAAACTGTTTTGCTTTAGAAAGCTGAATTTAAGGAGGGAGAGAAAATTCAGTGTGGCACTAGTGTCCAGTGGGATGTGTTAGATGAGGGATACACAGCATGTCTAAGGGTGTGTTATTAAAAGTCCCTGAAAGGCTCCACTCCTGCCTCCATACAGGTATTCTGTATAGTTGGGGTATTACAACAAATAAAACAAGGGATACTGCAGAAAAGAAGCTTTGAAATGTATAGATCTCTGAGCCTGAGGATGTTCACATTCCCTTTATTAGGCAGAAGCAGTCAGGGAATGAGCACAGGGAGAGAGTAATCCTCAGGGACACATAATCCATTCTGTGCTCAGTCATGAATCAAAACGTGTCATATTGACATTTAAATTAGTGATTCTTACAAAAAGTGAATCCTAAGGAGGGATTTGCAGTCACACTCATCTCCAGCAGGCAAAAGCCTCCTTTGGAGCTCAGCCCCCCACTCTGTGCTGGTGCTGACCCAGTGGTGCGTGCGGACTGGCTCCCAGCACACAGCTGCCCTGCTGGTGGCTTCCCAGCTGGAACAAAGCCATCATTGACTGCACTCAAATTCCCTGCTAATTTCCCAGGAAGCACAGGCTACTGGACAGCTGTTATTTGAAATGAAGCTACATGTGTGCTGAGACACTAAAACCCACTGGGGCAGTGAATGGGATGCACACAGGCAGAGTGATGTGGGAGATGCACATCACCCACTGTGCCCTTAGATGCTTTGTCATATGGACACAAAGCATGACACCACCTCATCTACTACCCTACAACCCAGATCAAACTAACCCCCAGAGCTCAAGGAGTGTTTGAACAATGCTCTCAGGCACATGGTGTGATTCTTGGGGTGCCCTGAGCAGGGCCAGGACTTGGACTGATGATCCTTGTGGATCCCTTTCCATTCAGGATAGGAGTTCAGCAGCTCATCCACTTATACACACTGAAAAAAAACCATAAGGAAAGGAATATAAATATATTCATATAATAATATGAATATTACTTCCAAAGGCCTTTAAAGCTGTAAAAGTCAGCACAGGGTCTGTTTGGATACTCTGGATGAGCCTGTTTGGATGCTCTGGATGTTACAGTCTGCAATTACACTACTGCACAATTTTTGCAGCAAAACTAATCTCTTATTTGAGCCAGAAAAATGGTATTCAAGGTTCAGTTTGAGTTTCCAGCCTGAGGGCTGGGCACGACCCTCCCAAACAAGCCATCAGTTGTGCCTTGCTCCCAGTTCCTCTCTCCCTGAAGGACACCCTTGTTTGAGCAGGAAGCAGGCTGTGGACCAAGTGGGTTACTCCCAGTCCATGGGCTGTTCCTTGAGCCTTTCAATCCCAAAGACCCCTCAGATAAAGGCAACTGTATTTGGGTATAATTTATTCCTACTCAGAAATGGAAAGAGGGAATAGTTTCTGCTTCTTGGGTGCAGGTTTGCTCATGGCTTGTGTATTCCAGGTGACCCAAGATGTTAAGCAGTAGGTTGGCCAAGAGAAGGGGTGCAGCCTGCCCAAATGATGGGGAGGCAGCACTGCAGGACCCTCAGGGAGCTCACAAAAGGATGCTATGCCATCACCCTATAGTATGCTGTGTGTATGTGAGCAACTGGCATCAGGGGACACAAGGCAAGTGAAAATACCTCCAGGTTTTGTGTTGCAATTCTACCCGTATACACATAGTAAGTATATCATTCATGTCTCTAATCATGGTAAGTATTTATATTGCTTCCAGAAGAGCTGTAGGGTAATTGTTTCAGAAATAAAGATGCTCTGAGGGCTGGAACACCTCTGCTCTAGAGCCAGGCTGGGAGAGCTGGGGGTGTCCAGCCTGGAGAAGAGAAGGCTCCAGGGAGACCTCAGAGTTCCTTCCAATGCCTAAAGAGCTCCAAGAGAGCTGGTGAGGGACTTTGGACAAGGGCCTGGAGGGACAGGACACAGGGAATAGCTTCCCACTGCCTGAGGGCAGGGACAGATGGGATATGGTATGGGGAAGGTTCCCTGTGAGGGTGCTGAGTCACTGGCACAGACTGCCCAAGAGACTGTGGCTGCTCCATCCCTGGAAGTGTTCCAGGCCAGGTTGGATGGGGCTTGGAGCAACCTGGGCTAGTGGCAGGTGTCCCTGACCATGGCAGATGTTGGAACTGGATGAGCTTTAAGGTCCTTTCAACCCAAACCATTCTATGATTCTGTGATTCCATTTCAGGCTTACTTGGCTAACCAATTGCTCCAGCACTCTAATCCAGTAGGAACTGGACTAAGCTGGACTAAGCTGAACTAACTGGACAAGTTAATGTCAGAATTAGAAATTATCTAATTAATTTTTACCTCCTAATTTACTGTGTTACTCAACTACCAAAACCTATTTTCTCTTGCCCAAAATGGCTGCAAAATGCTTTACCTGCCAGAGCTTCTTTGCTCACAGTTTTTATCTGCAGAGAAATTTCCTCTTTCATGGCAGCCCAGTTCTCCAAGTTAGTGGAAATTACATCTTTAATGTTGTCTAGTTCACCTCTGATGAAAGGGAACAGTGAGACAGCCTTGTCCAGAGTGCAGCAATGATGTTCCAAGGTATTTCTGCAAGAGAGAAAAAAATACCAGATGTGCACTTTAAATTTCTTTTATATAGTAAATTATTGCTATATAGTAAAATTTGTTTTAT